CCCCTTTCTTGCTTTTTCTTCTCGTATTTACCTAATTTTATGAATAATTTTCTGTAATTTTAAAGAAAAATTACCATTTTTGATTATTGATTGTACAGAATTTATTAAATCTAAAAATTAAAACAAAAAACACAGTAATTCAATTACTGTCATTATCATTCATTACTTTGTACTACAGTCGAAATGTAAAATATTCGTCTAAGATCTTTAATACTATTCTAAATAACTTTATTATTACTTACAAAGCTTATGACTTAAGACAATATTAAAGTGATTCACACAGAATCCATATATATATATATATATATATATATATATATATATATATATATATATATATATATATATATATATATATCAGTAAGAGACTAATCAATTACAATCCGAAATATTATTGAGAAGATTCAATTAAAACAATACCAATTAAATTTAAAACATTATTATTATCATTTAACAGAAATTTGTTTATTTCAATAGATGAAATCATGAGTCAATTGAAGCTATGGACGACCATTTCGTCCCATAATGAGACTTCTCAGCAGTGCGCATCCACGATCCCGTACCAGAGTCTCATACTAGGACGAAACGACCATCCAGTGCTTTCAGATTTTCCGTGGTGATCTAACATCAATTGTCTCATGATTTCAACGAATGAAATTACTTAAATCTTCACAAAATCTCTTCTGAAAAATTTGTTTTGTTCAACCAATAATAAGTATTATTTTTAAATAAATTAAATAATTGCCAAATTAAAAGATAAAATAGAATGATTTCATTAATAATTCAATTATTCATCTAATCTAACTATTAGTTGCATTTTATTGTTTTAAGTTGTTAAATATTCTATGAAATAACTATTAAATGAATAATGGATTTAAAGTTATTCTCATTGGATTGAATGTAGATAGACAGATGATAAGTTGAAATACAATAGTAATAGATAAACAATCAATCGATTTGTATACAATGAATACTTAACAACATATAACATCCTTCTTTTTTTTAGTGTTTATTCTATTTACCGTCAATGAATCGTTTTTTTAATCTTTTATAGAATATAATTATTGTATTTTTTAATAAATAGTTAAGTAAATAGAAACAACACATTGATTATTTAGTGTCTAGAGACAGTTATCAGGATCTAATGATCATATGATCACTTCATCGATATATTTCAACCAACTTTATAGCCTAGACATAATATTGATTACGATCAAATGATCAACAAAGTATATGATATATTATTTAATCCCAATATCTAACAATCTATCTAGAAAATATACAGAAACAAACGAGTCTATATGAAGTCATTTATAATATTAATATAATATTAAATATGTATAATTTAAATGGAAAGTTTCCATTATTATTCTAATTATATAATATATAATGACATTCAAAGATTTTCTCATAATTTACATATTCATTTGGTTTTATTGTTAAACTAGAATAGAACTAAGAGTTCACTGACGGTCTTAACACCTGTTGTTAAGATAAATTATGATGACTAGTAATTAGGAAACAGATGATATTAAATAACTGTATATGAGATCATTAGTAATAATGATATTTAGGCATTAAAATGAAAGCATAACATTATGCCTTAAATTACTTAAGATATAACTATTGATGTTGTAACACTTATAGTTAAAATCTAATAAAAATATCTATTGAAGGAATATATCTAATTAGAAATATTAGTCTTCCATATATTTCTTTTTTGAGGAAAATCTTACATCTAGTTTATGATGTCTTTATTCATAACAAATAACAGTTTGATATAACACACAACTCAGAATTAAGTTACTGTCAGTATATTCTTAATTACTCTCATTATTCTTTGTGTTGAGAGTCATATTTGAGGTTACTTTCATATGTAACTTGCTTTATATCGATTAAGATACCATTTTAAACTAATGACCCTACAAATATCTGTTTCATCTTGGTATGCAATTTCTCATCAGTGCGTATCCACAACTATACTAGGTCTCAAATCCAAAGCCTTTTGATCATGTAGCGTGAGCCCTCTAAGCATGGAATTACGACTAAATCATGACATAGTGCAAAAATCATTCAATACTATTTGTATTCATTATGTCACGACAGGAACTAGCTTTATATAGAAGTACAAATAAAAAAAATTTATCATTTTCTCTATATTTATTTTATTAAAAAGTCATTTCCTTATCATAGGCATATTTCTGTACTTTTGTTAACAGACAAAATATTAAATAGCCTCCCCCCCCCAAAAAAAGAATAAAATAACAACACATCTACAATAATAATAATAGTACAATAAGACTTGAATTACTGCAAAAAATTCATTTAAAGCAACAAACAATTCATATATATCCGGTAGTAGTTAGTTCATTTAGATTAAAGTCAACCTTAAAAGAGGTTGATTAAGAATTCATCAGAGAAATAAACTATTCCTACCACTACTTACCAATCATCCATAGTAGTAATTATAGTATTAGTTTTTAAAAAATGTATATACTGATCAAAACATACTGTTTTTCATGAATTAAACTAAAGATGAGAAAATAATCAAAGAGATTTGCCGACAAATTATTCAAAGCCTATAGTCTGCCCTCCTGAAACAATTGCCTTTCAACCCCTAGTTTTTTTTCTATAAAAAAAAATAATCAACCTACGCTATCTCAATATTTATACTTACTTGTATGAATATAATTTCTATGACTGTCATTATAATTAATAGTATTATTCATAATCAAATCATTAATGCTAACTCGCTTAACCAATGACTCAAAAGAACAATTCAAAAACAGAATGATTTCAATGAATAAGTTCATTGCCTATTCAGTTATATACGTAGTGAGCTAGTAATTGTATTACTGTGTATTAAATTATGAAGTACTAAACAAAACATTTGTAATTAATTATATTATTATATTATTTTTATTAAAATCTCCATATTATTAACATAGAAAATGAATAATATTCAGTTAGTAACTAAATTTCAGGAAGTAATTTGTACTTTTAATTGAATATATATTTTCGTATCATCTGTATTACGTAATATATATATATATCATATGGAAGCTACACAGAAATACTAGGTATCTCTGATATATAATACAATTCAGTAATTCGTTGGTTAATTAGTGTTCATTTAAAGTTAGTAATAGATGATAAAATGTGTTGAGGTTATGAGTATATGTCAATTAATATACATATTAGACTAGTCACTTCATACTTAGTTTTTAAATTCGTTGTTATCAGAACATGTTAATATATAGAAAAAAAGGCATGTACAACTGTAATATCCAATAACTTAAGTTGTATGAAGATGTGTAAACTTGTTTGATCAAGATTAACTACGTACATTAGTTGGCACATCCAAAAATTATAAAGGGATTAATGAAAATTCAATAAACTTTTTTATCATTTTACCACATCAAAACAATTGAACATTGTATTGTCCTATTCCAGTTGTTTTTCTTTTATGTTTACTCTTGCTAAAATCACTTCTTCTATACCGACGAGAGTTATGTTAATAATTCAACAGTAATAAATGGTCGTTTCAAACAATTAGTTATGTATTTTATGATCAAACAACTATATTAAATAATTTTTCGTTGTATTTAACTAATCCTAATATAAGTAATTTTAATATTTAAATCAATTCAAAGATTGAGGATAATCTACTGAAAAAAACACAATAGTTTTCATGTATGTATCCTGTTCTGACTCGCCTAAAACTAAGATTTAACTGATAAAACTCATAAAAGTTCATTTGGATACGCTTAGAATTGAAGTTTGTCATTGTGAATGAGTTATAAATTGCTTCTACCCAACTGTAAATCACAAACTTGTAGGTAATAAATTACTTAACCACATAAATTAATATATATCCACTTTTAATACATCAATGAATAAAGTTTAGTCATTCCTATGCTATTACTTACCTATTTAAAGATAATGAAATTTAGTGTTTTGATTTTTAATAAACGAAGGTTATTTGTATAAGTTATAGAATTTATTTTTGCCTACTTATAACTTGTAAGTAGCCAAAATATATAAAAATATTTCTACTGGCCTATGATAGCAAAGAAATGTATGCGAAGTTACTTATGCCACTGTCTATTTCAGTTTGTCTTTTATACTGCATGTTACAAACTTTCTATATCTGGGGTGGAAACTCTTTACGCCACCAGCACTTAGTAACTATCGTGTAATAGAAACAACATTATGAAGGCTCGTTTATATGAATTTTGTGGAAACATCTTAGCAATATGATTATCCTCTAAATTTACCAATATGCCTAGTTAAAGATAAAGAAAATGATTTTTTTCAAAATTGAGTTTAAAGTTTATACATTAATTTAGTAAGCATTAAATAATGTCCATGAGTAATTTTCATTAGAACGTTATTTATTCAATTCAACAGTTTTAAAACCTAAACATTACTAAATTTTCTAGTTTAATGTGAAAAATTGATTGAATTCTAGAGTTTGGGAGTTCACAGTAGATTCATGTGATAATAATCGCTTTAGAAGATAGGGTATCTGCAAAGAGTTCTGATATATAATTCTAATTCGTATCATACGGTGAAATCAATTGGTGAATTACTGAAACCAGAGAATACTTGACACGCTACATATCACGCTAGCTTGAGACTTGTCAACAATGATCCTAAACAGAGAAGAACATAAAAATTTCTGAGGCCATGACAAATATTGTTCATTTAACCCATCTACTTGCAATTGAAATTTTAAGTTTACAGCTTCATTTAATTTTAATATTTTATGATCATCTAAATAAGATTTCTATAACCCAATCCAAACTAATCGGTTTAAGTACACTAGAAAATTTGCTGTCGATTAAGATTCATTCAAGTTGGATCACAAATACTTCAGTGTTTACTGTTACAAGTATTATCTTCTCTCAAAAAAGCTTTTACCAAATAACGTACAACTATTTTCCAATTTATCATGACAGTAGTAATTAAATTTAAAATCTGTGTATTATTTATTTCAGGAAACTTGTGACGACCCATTAAAAGAATTTGTATCTCCTGTACGTGGTATACCACGTTGTTGTCGTAAATGTGAACCCGGCAATGGTATGTTACGTTTATGCTCAAATACAGAAGATACACAATGCCGACCATGTAAACCAGGTTTTGAATTTTCGCCTTTTAGAAGTGCAACAAAAAAATGTTTGCACTGTCGACGTTGTGAAGAGGTTAGTGAATAGATAATAAGATTATTAATCATAGATACTCTTTTGTTTAAGTATTTCTTATTGTATTAAAATTTCAATTCTCAGTAGAGTGTTTTATATTCACAACATTACTGAAAAGTTCTATTCTATAAAGTTTATCAACTTCGTATAAGCTTTTACTCTCACTTTATGTGTACAGCATACCAATCCGAGTTATAGGTGTATATATGTGAAGGTTCCTACGGAACACATAAATTAAGGAGTATATGAACAAACAATAATAACTTAGTCATCCTCGATTATAAGTCTACGATTATTTTATTATGATGAATATCAAGAATTTATGTTTTACTTTTTTATATTCTCTTTTTAGATTCATCCACTGGCGAAAACACGTAATGAATGCACTCCCATAACAGACACAATATGTCAATGTGAAAAACCATACTATATGTCAGAAAAAGAACAAACATGCAAACCATGCACTGTTTGTAAACCTGGTGAAGGTATAGTACAGTAAGTTTAGGTTCATAATGTTATCCTACTTATTAATTATCTAGTAGTATAAATTTGTTAAAATAAAAAAAACCACCAAGATTCACTACTAGATCATTGTATAGATGTTTTTACATAAAAATCTATACAAGACATGTAGAAATCAGAAATTCATTGTTAATGACCATTACTTATTCACATAAAAGACAAAAAACGTTATATTTAATGTCTCGTATTTTAGTATTCATCTGCTTCGGTATATATATAAACACTTACAAACATTAATGTTTCTTTGATCTTGATAGAAATCACTTACTTTTTCGTATATAAAAAGTTTTACGTGTTACGCTACTTATTGATATTATTATTATTATCTACAAATATAGCGATGTGTGAATAAATGTGAAGTGTTTTGTTTTACGCAAAATACACTTTCGGCTTTAATAACCTAAATAGCATTACTACGTTATATGCCTTTTATGTATGCGTAGTTCAGTTTTTTTTTCTTTCTATCTAATATACCTATACATGTACATGTGTAAATTATCCAAACACAAATGGTTATGTAAAGTAGGAATTTCATGAACAGCTGTAATGATATCAGTAGGTGCTATGAAGTTATTTTTATTATTTTTTTAAAAATAAAAACAGTAATTCAAGTTCATTCTAATGTGAATATGAAATCATGGGAATTGAATAGAAATGAAGACTTTTATCGTTGAAAGTTATTCAAAATGAATTACGAAAATGAATACAAGCATATATATATATATATATATATTTAATAAGAACTTTTGTCTAAATCTGGTGGAATAGTTTCACCTTATTTTGGCGCCGAATTGATGTGAGACATTAAAGAGGAAGAATGTATTTGTAAAATCTCAGTGAATGAATTTGAAGTAAGTCTAATGTATCGTCTGGTAATCTAGTTCAAGCTTTTTCAAGAAAATATAATCAAACATATTCGATAATTTTGATGTTTGATTATATTTTCTTGAAAATGGTTGGACTATATTACCAGTCGATACGGTTGATTTACTTCACATTCATTCTCTGAGATTTTACAAATACATTCTTCCTCTCTTTATATATACATATTCGTTTTAAGAGATTTTGCAAATGTATTCAGTTCCTAAGCAACTAGACCTATGAATATTTTATCATTAAATCATACAATCTAAAAGATTTAAACTTGAACTTGACATTTACATGAATGAATTTAAACTCCTTTAAATTAAATCACTTTTTAAACATAATTTTCGTTCAATTTAATTTGATTTAAACAAAACAGAGAATAGTTTATATGGTAACTGATTTGTAAAGTATTCCACATAGTTTATTTATGTAGAACACAATATGAATGATTAAATTATAAAAATAACTCGATTGGTTTAATTGGAATTTCTATATTAATAAACTTCTTCAATTGAGTATCGTTATACAAATAATAAAACCATTTAAACCATATAGATAATTTGGTAGAGAAGTGATCAGATAAAAAAAAGAATAAAGCCTTTTCATTTGATCAGTGTGTATCCTTTCAACTTCAACTATGAATGGTTATATTAATCATTTTAATAATAATAAAGGATATGATATAATATCTGAAGTGATAAAGGTTTAATCACTAGGATGAAACAGTCATCCAGTGCTTCCAGATTTTCAGTGATCATCTAATACTGATCGACTCTTAATCTCAATCAAAAACAACTGAAATAAATCGAATTTATGAGGTTAAACAAAAAGACAATTAAAATAAATATATGACTAATCGTGTAACAAGTAGTAGTAAACCCAATGTTGGCAAAATAATCTGTTAGTCATTTATGAATAAATTCTAACAGCTTATTCCTATATTAAATGTATTGTGATGATGCTGTCTAACACGATAATTAAAGTTTAGAGAACTGAACACTATAAGCATCCTTTAGAAATACAAATTTGACGAGTTGTCTAATTAAACTTATTGATTACATAATTTCGAGATATTTCAGTTAATAGAGCTGAATTAACTTAATTGACGCGTGCGAATTCGTTGAAGCGAGCACTTTCCAGTGAATCTTGTTGTTAAACTTGTGTTTTTTTTATTACTGTAATAAGTTTTGGCTGAATGATGATATTAAAACGCTAATTAATTAAGCTTGACTCGGCAAATAACTTCAGTAATTTTGTTTTAGATCTATATTTTACCAAAATGATTCCATTTGATTTATTTTCCCAATTACATAGTAAGATTCAATTTTGACAATCTTCACTTAAATAGTTTCTTATTATTATTACGATCATTTCTTTAAGGGCATGTGGTTGGAATTCCGATACACAATGTCAATCATGTCCGGCTGGTTTCTGGTCTGCACAAAGTATTGATAATGTAAAGTGTATACCTTGTCAATCATGTGGAAAAGATCAAGTTTTAGTAAAACAATGTTCACCAACATCAGATACTCTTTGTTGTCCATTAAATAATCCCAACTGTACACATGAATTGTCAATGTATTTCGGTAAGATACTAATAATAATCTAATATAAAATTTATAACATAATAATTCATGTAGAAATTATTTATTATTTTCCTATTTCAGTATGAAGTTAATAATAAAACCAATGTTAAATAGTACATTAATTACGATTTATTTCATTTAACTGTTTTAACGGGAAAAAATTCAACAGTTGAATTCATGAGTCGATGTAAGCTAGACCACCGTTAAAAACCTGGAAATACTGGACGGCCGTTTCGTTCTATTATGGGACTCCTCAGTAGTGCATATCCACAATCCCACATGCGAGACTCGAACCCAGGACTTTCGGTTTCTCACGAGAACACAAGATCCGTGATCTTGCGAAGACATTCATTCATTGTCTAAGTTAGATACCTGCCTCTACCGGACACGCACTGAGCTCCATTGGTCGCAGCTTCTCATTAGAAAATTTTTTATTCAATATCTGTATTATTCTACTGAATATAAGCCATAGAAACCAAATAACAATTTATGAATAATTATTTTGCATTATAAATTATATCTTAGTATAGTTGAGTATTAATAAACTGTGGATTTCTGATGAATCTATCGGTAGTCATAGAATCATATTACTGCAAGACTCAAAACTCTTATATTTCACAGTCCACATGATCATGACTTCTTATTCTTAATTATTCTTAAGTCAGAACAAAATAGTTGTGCCAATGGTTCTTGGTTTTGTAATATTCCGTAAGCGATTTGAGTTCATAACGTAAAATATCTTCATTAAAACTCTCTTTCGTCTTGATTAAATATACTTCTCGTTTAATCAGTTCTAATGATTAATTAACTCAATTATATGTCATCTCTATGGTTTTCAATAGGGATAAAACTAAGAATAACTTTCCACAATATATATATATATATATATATATATATATATATATATATGCGCGACTGGAGGGAGAAACTTTTTCAGCATGAAATCAATGTCAAATCAATAATTCATAAGTCATTGGTCTGAGTCCGACCACCAATACAATTTCTTTGAATTTTGTCGGACATTCCTATCTATATATAATTACATACAGATTTTTTTCACAGCTTTTAACATAAAAAGAAATTTTCGGCTTTTCGAAAGTTCTTTGAAGTAAATCATTATACTAATGTAAGGAAGTACTTTGAGAGAGAGAGAGAGAGAGAGAGAGGAAGAATAATTATAACTGGTGATTGTACACACAGTAGAAAACACGAATAATAACAACAGCAAAATAACAAAGGGAAAACAGCAATGACCTTTGATGTAAGTTGGTGAAAAAAGAGGAACTCTCTGTAAAATACTTTTTCTTTACCTCTCATTGTGTGATGGCTACTTTACCGTGCAGTCATGTTCATGCCATAATAATTATGAATAACGTTAATATCAGCTTATTATTGACCATTATTTCCTTCTAAATTATGTGTACAAAACGCATATAAATTTAGTCTATATATATGTATATACCATGAATATGTATGTAATTTATGTTCTACCTATTTTCTACATTTTAGTCAACTGTTGGTTATTTACACAATTTTACGTTATTTGAAATTGTTATAGTTTTTCATTTCGTTTATTTTTTTTTTCTACCTTTTATTCTTGTTACGGTTAGTGATGTTGTTTTTATTAGTATTATCGTTTTGTCGGGAATAATCTTTGAAGTTTCGCATACACACTTAATGCGCCATCAAATAAATCATCAAATGACCGTGTAGCCGGAACCATTTCCTTTTTGTTAAACAATAATAATAATAATAACAGTCATCGTAATATATTTCACATTTAAGTGCATTTTTATACATCAATGGATAGACGTTTTATATCTATTTCTATGTAGAATAAATGAATGAATGAATGAATAGTTCTATATGTATATGTCTGTAATATGTATGTACATTTGTATATGTGGATGAATTATATGATTATTAATTCAGTATATTGTTGTACGTTAGTTACTTAAAAATTCATTTAACAAAGTGTATTTGGACAAAATGAAGTCATAAATTCATGTATATCTCTATATATCTGAACTTAGATTGGTGTGTGTGTGTGTGTGTTGTGTTATCTCTGTGTCTCTAAACAAAAAAAAAACACATGTAGATACAGCGTTGTTATTTGCCTATAAATTTATTCATGAATCTTATTGCAACAAAAATATTTTAAAAAATACTATAATAAAATCAAAAATAATCATTTACTATGGAAAAAGGGGATTCTTTGAATATTATGCCAAAATTATTTCAAATAAATAATAATGTGAAGATTGAAAAATTGAGCTTATGCTAGAACAGTAAAACAAAGTATATATATATATATATAAAGACAATAAAGATGATATATGTATGCGTATATAAATCTAACTATATAGACAAAATCAAAGAAGCTACTAGAATTTAACCGACAAGATTTATGGTTAAGCAATAAGATTGAAATAAAAACACATGGAAAAAGAAAAAAAAAGAAAAAATTCTTTTCTTTATTCAGACTAAAAATGGTTTTAAAACACATACACATACACATATACAAAAAACAAACAATGTAAGAAAGAGAATGGTAACTAATCTTTAGAAATCCGAGTTTTGATTTTATATAAATATAAGGTTAATAATAATAATAATAATAATTTTGAATTCCTTTTTCTTTTTTACTTCAATGAAACAATGTATTTCCATAAGGTGGAGGATGATAGTGGCGCTTATTTAAATGAATGATTTACAATACTAACATAACATTATGTTTGGTAGTAGTGATAGTAGTTAAAATTAAAATCATAAATACTATCGATAAATTACTATGAAAGCTTAAAGAGATAAACAAATGGAAAACTTCATTCAATTTTCTAATTAAAATAATGAGGAATTAATTCTTTTTGTTTTCCAAGAAGAAACTTATTTCATCTTTCTAAAAGTGCTTGTTTCGGTAAAAAAAATTTTTAATTTAGTGATTAGTTAACTCATATTTATTGCTTTGTTGTAGTTGATAATTTAAAATTAAAATATTTTTCATTTTTTTATTTCAATTCTGCCTCTGTTGCAAAATCATTTGGACCATATTGCGAATCAAGCAGCACTGGATAGTTATTCTATTTTTCGGCTTCATAAGCCTAATATGTTGTGTACACGTACTTTCAGCTCTTGAGTTTAATCACTTAGATCATTGAACTACTACACATAGAGTACTAAATTCAACCTTGCATAACATTTTACATGAATAGTTCTTGAAAATTCAGTTTAGGATAAAACCTTATCTGGGGCTCCTCTGAATATTCTTTAATTCCCTAGTTTGTTATCCAAAAAATCCATATGAAAACTGAATTACCCTGATTTTATTTCTCCAAAAACTGTTAGCATATACATAGCTATTCATGTATTTTCTACAAAATTTTTACCATTAACCGATATCATCTGGAGAAATATGAAAGATTAGCGAGTACTGAACAGCTATTTTTTTTCAAAATAATTCATTATGCTTAATTCATTTTATCAAGCACAAGTTTCGTATACTTACTCTTTAAACCTTAGATTAATGCGGTATGGTTAAAGAAACTACTACCACTGCTACTAGCTAAATACCGAATCCGATAAAGGTGAAACAGAGATCGAATTTACAACCCAATAGTTAAAAGTCAAGTTTTTTTACTGTTAAACTACAATTCGGAATATTTATTGAAATAGATTGTACGTATCTCGATATATCAATGCATAAATAACTTTCAACTGGTAGTACATTCATAGAATTATTCATTTCTTAGAAATAAAAAGGATAGTTCCTCTTATTTTGCGTCCATACCGTGTGGAAGATTTTTTTCCATATTTCTTTCACTATTTTATTTCTTTACCTCACTATAAAATGTTTTCGTGATGAATCACCTGCTTAGAAATAGAATAAAATAAAAAATACACCTTTATCTGTATCGTAAAAAGAGAAGGAGGTTAATATAGATAGTATAATAAACATATGTACTATATATATATATATATATATATATATATATATATATATATATATATATATATATATATTCGTGATATCTCATAACAGGAGCCGACATATTCACTGTTATCCTGCTTAGATTGTCTTTAATTAAGACCAGTATAGAAACAGATTAAATTTCACTTATTTACAATGTTCGGATGTAATTTTAGGTTTGCTTGTTCGCTTATCTGTTATCTTCTTTCCATAGTTTTTTTTGTTGTTAAGAAAAATTATTATTTTACGTTCTAATCAGGAGTAAAATTCAATTAAGAAAAGAAACAATCACCTATTTATTGACCAATTTAAAGAATTTGTACGCCATTATTATCGTTGATATTATTATTAATGTTAATGATTGTCAATATTTGGCTTTGTGTTTGTCTGTCTATTTGTCCCTTGGATGCAATGAAACAAGCATATATGTATATCCATATATATGTAACAAATTTTTACAAAACCTAAAATGAAAATATGCATGAGACCAAGTAATGGATCAAATATAAATTGCATGAACTTTTCAGACTGAAATAAGCGGAATAAACTAAAAAACTTTGATACAACTACTAAGGTAGTTTTTTAATGATCAACCGGATAACCTACTGAATAGCTGTTTTATCCTAGTCTTAAACTTTTATTTAATATGGGCTTATAACTTTCAGGTATTGTAAAGAGTTTAATTAAATTTAGTTATAATTACAAACATACCCTTCAAAAGAGTTATTTTACATTGATTACCAAGAGAATTTGACACTGTTCAGGCTTATCACAGTTTGAACAGCATAACTCAACCTTGTGATGAAGAACCCTGAGGGATTATTTGAAATTTACCAACCAAAATTTCCAACTTTAGATAATTAGTGGTGTGAATAGAGACACAATTCTATACGATTAAAAAAATGTATCATACAACTTATTTACTAAATTGAAGTTTAAGAACTCAGATTTAAGCCACTGTATGTATGTGAGGGTCAGTGTGATGTCACCTGGTTGCACATATTGGATTATGTGGAGTGAACTGTGAAACCGC